AAGCAGTTACAGCAACTCAATGCAAGTATCATTGAACAGTTAATTTCATATTAGAATTTGTTCCCATTATTGATACCAGGAGCAATGGACCTACATACTTCTTCAGAAAATGTGGTGCATTGTTATTGGGATCAGAAGTGTGAAGGCCTGTGAGTGGCTTCTTTCTACCTTGCACAAATAGGCAGACAGTCTAAAGGGAACAGACTCAGACAGACTTTCAATTGCGATGACAAATGAAAATTGCCTATTAAGGGCCTTCGGGTCCCCCATGTAGAGAACTGGTTATTTGGCCTATCACTCAGTGTGGGAATCAGGTTAGTATCAATCCTCATCACTAGAAATACCTTCGAATGGGCTTAAAATTCTTAATGGCTTCCAAATATAATTTTAAAGTTTACAGTTGAGTTAAATCACCAAGTTAACCTACTTTTCAATATCAATTTATTTACCCCAGTGATGCTCAACCAAGTGCATTTATATGAGATGTCTCACACATATATTCTCCTCTTAAAGAAACACCTTTCTTTAGGTGTATCAATGATAGGTGAATTTGCCTCATAATTTTTAAACAGAACATGAAAATATATCCCATCTTTTAGGCTGGATTTGACAGTCTCACCATAAGGTTTCAATTATATTCTTTGCAGAAAATACTTCAAAGATGCTTCATCAATGAAGTTTTGAAATTTCTTGTGAAAGTACTTGTGCTTAGCTGAGTAATTACCTCTATGATACAGGTAAATGTAATGCAGTAGCCTTTTAGCATATATAGGTCTTCCAGAGTACTACAATTACATCCCAAAATGCAATGTAACAGTAATGATTAAAATATGATTGCAAAAGCAATGCAATACAAATTGTAACAAATATCAAAAATTTGACTGGCATAGCATTTACATTACAATTAGGGCTGTCAATTTGATTAATTTAATCTATTGATTAATCGATTTAAGTACTAACAGTGATTTTAAAATTTAGTCAAAATTGAATTTTAATCGACCCCCTAATCTTCCCCTGAATACCAATTTTTTCCCTAATAATTTCATCATAATAATATTTTAATAAATTAATTGAATGGACAGTCCTAATTACAATATCATTAGTTGAATTTATATTTTGCTTTCAACAATTTTTATTACAGTAGTTTTTCATGATGTATACCAAAACCTGGAATTCCATCAGGCTCATGAAGGTTTACAGCAGGAAAACTACAATGGTGGATGTGACTGTGGTTTTCCATGTTGTTGCATTCTGAAGATCATGAATGTTAATTTATCTTAATACTCACACCCTCAAATTCAAGGTAATGCTATTCCCTCTAATAAACTAAATTTGAGATGCTGAAACAGTAAAGAGTAGATGATTCTTATCTGGCTAATAAAAGCATTCCTACTCCCTCTACTCATACTATATCGCTGTTTTGTTTTTTCTTCTCTATTTGCTCCCATTGGGAAAACAAAACAGCAATGCTAACAGAGACAGTTTGATTTATTGACTTTCCTTCCATGTCAACATTGATAATAATGTGTGATCCAAGGTACTTGCCCTTCCATCCCCCTGAAGCAGGAGTTTTCCTCCACTAGTTGTATCATATTAATCCAGGGATAACATAGTACCATATTTAGATAAGTGTTAGTTTTTGAGATAAGTGGTGGGTGAGAGATAAGAAAAATCCTTGGGGTGGGTAAGAGAGACAGAGATTGTAGTACAGAAAGAGGGAGGGATGGACGACAGAAAAGGCCAGTTAAGGCAGTCACAATCAGAGATAAACAAGGAAAGAAGCAAGATAGCAATGCCTTTTGGAATTTCAGGGAAAAATGTGGAGAGAACAACAAATGGACTAGATGAAATGGACTGGATGTGGTACCAGGGCAAACTACAGGGTGGTCCAAAAGTCTCAATACATAGGGAAAATTAACACTTTTTAACAAAATGTAACTTTATTCACAAAATATGCTCTACGTGGTTACCATTACTTTGAAAACACATACGGATTCATGGTGAACTCACGTTAATACATCTGGTGTTATGTCAAAGTTACACTTTTTTAAAAAGTGTTAATTTTCCCTATGTAGAGACTTTTGGACCTCCCTGTAGAATCAATTTCCAAAGCATTCTTCAGAAAGAAATACATGATCAGGATTTTAACTACCTGGATTGTAAGAATGAGTGAGGCTTGTCATAGTATCTCAGAATCATTAAAAATGGATTTAGTTTTTCTTAGCACTACTAATAATGCTTGAGTTCTGGGCCTCTGCGTTTTTTAAACATATGCAAGTTTCTTGATGCTGCTGTTATTTTGCCAGCTCATGCTTTAAATCAAGAGTGTGATCTTCTGTGGACAGTGATGAATTTACCTCAAGTGCATGGATAAGTGATTTTTTTGTTGCATACAATCATGTGAAACTTAACCGTGAATTTTCTGCCTCCATAACTCTTGATGCCCTCCAGTTGTTTATCCATGAAACCATTTCAGCATGGCAGCCTTTTTCAGAAATAGGTATGTCCTCTTTTTAACTTTGGCTTGTGCCAACCAAGAAATAAGCTTTCCTACATAACTTGTGTGCTTTGGTTCAACATGGGATGCTAAGTGGCACAATTTGCTCTTCTTTTCAATGAGGCAGCAGACTTTCCCCTCTTCTGTCATGAATATGGATTACTGACTACTGTCAGTAATCCATATTCATTTGATTCTCTGGAATGCCAGGCATGTAAAGCAGTGAAAATGGCTTTCTAATATGGTTCTATACCTGCTTAAGAGTGACATCCTTTTTCCCATTGATATTGTAACGCAAGGGGGCTTAAAAAAGTGCAATTATACATTTCTACCCATCAGAACAAGAACATGTCAAAAGGAACTGTCAGGAACTATCTTCATACAAAAGGTTTTACCGAATGAGCCAACTTGAAATTATGTATTATGAACTCCTGTACTTCATTAAAGAGTGCTCATATAAGTTTAGGTAATAATAATGAAGACTCTTATCCACTGTTGAAGTTATAGTGAATCTAACCTCAAATAGCATGTACAATTAATCTCTCTTACATAGTTTTTCAGGAATTCACCTTCAAGCGAGACCAATGAGTGACTTTATTATTGGAAGATTAACATGAAAACATTATTACTTATTCAGCATGAAAAGAGGCACTGCCATATGCTTAATTTAAGCAACTTACTTTTAACTATGTAAGGTCACATGTCAATAAGCAAAATGTTATGTCTACCAAAAGTAACTAAATGCAAAATATTTTTCATTTCAGTTCTAGGGATGAAAACAAAAAGGTGGTTGTATTGATGATGAGATAAAAACCCCTACATGAATCATGCCTGGTCTTGTGCTGCTGTTTGTCACTTTTTCATTCTATTTCTTGAGATTTTTATTCACGTGTCTATACATGTTTACATTGGATTGCAACTGAGATTATGTGATTTCCAATTTTTGGAGTCTGAACAGACCTAATAAGACCATTCAACCATATTGTCTGTGTTAGCATAGAAAAAATCGATTTTTTTTTTTTAGAGATAAAACCTAATAAATTTCTCTTCCTAGCTTTTCTAAGACTCCTGACTGGTCTCCATGACACCAAGATGCCCACCCCTTGCAGCACAAAGGAGTAAAAGAAATAATAGGAATGAGCTTCAAGCATTTACTGCCTGGTGGCAGGTCTAGGCCTACCAAGACTGCTACACAAATGAGACACAATTGGGCGAATTGTCATTAAAAGTCATGGTTTGGACTCTCTGAATAGGAGAGATATGAAAATTACATCAGCAGAAAGACTCACTGCAACCCGAAGTCCCTGAACCTACGAGGGAAGAATAAAAATAAAATAATAATTATACAAGAAGTAGTCGAAGCGCAAAGTAGTACCCAACCGTAACCCAGACCACGAAAGGAATCCGAAAACCATGTGCACTGGCAACAGGTCATCATCATCTGCGCCATAGTTGCTCCCTCGACAATTCTATACTTGCAACTTGCAATTAAATTCACAAAATGTGTGTCCGAAAAGAACTTTATATCTATATTTTCAAATGCAATATCCTCTTCCCTTGTTCCAAGCACAATAGATACACTATAAACGAAGTTGAGGTTGGAGCTGATCTATTTGCGAATAACTTTACCTCGATAGTGTACACACTCCAGCAACCTGGAAGAGCCGATTTTCACCAATCATGGAGCGCGACTCATGGTTAGTATGGCGATCCCCTTGCCGCACGGTGGTATTCTGTCCACGCTCTCCTATTGACATTCTTTACCGCCCATTACTGTAGCACACCAGGGGGCATTGCATAAAACTGACTTTAGCGTGATGAAGCTTTAAACATTTATTAGCACCGCTTTGCATTAGCACCGGTTTAAAGCATCATTACGCTTAAGTCAGTTGTATGCAATCCACTCCAGATCCTAATATCCTCATGGGTTTTGCCTAGCTCCATAATTTTCTTAACCACAATGTAGGAGGAAAGGTCGTTGAACTGCTTTTCAACATCGTAGACCTATTAGCAGGGAATTGAAGGGACTATGTTGACCACTGATCACTAAACCATATCAATGGTGCTAAAGATTCCCTTCCCTCTCCTTGGGAAGAGGAGATGGAGTGAGGGTGCAAATGACCATTAATGTCATATAGGGAAGGTGTATATTGTGTATATTCTGCAAACTTCATTCTCATTAAACAAACATGTTTTACGAGTGATAAAGTACTCAGAATAGTGAAGTCTCCCAGCTACCCATTCTTTTCAGCTATGCCTTCATAGAAGAAAAGGTAATTGGTCAAAGTATCGTCACTGAAAGTATTAAAAACGAGTGCCCAAACCCTTGTTTTGCAGATGATTTAGACACACCTGTTGTATGATGCTTGCTGGTATTGCATTATTGCCTTGAGTTGGCTCAGGTCTTACCCACTGTTAACACTCATTGCAGGGCATCAGTCCTAAATATAGGAAAGTCATGTCAACCTGTAGTAGCTATTACTTCAACATTTTATTAATGCTTCATTCCAGATTGTCATTTTTAGGTAATATTATGGAGCATGGAGCAACAGAAGATTTTCATGCAGATAGGAAATTCTCCAAAAGAAAAATTAACCGGCCAACAGAAACAGCATCAATGACTGGGAAACGAGTGAAAGCTGCCTTCCCAGTTTCTAGGGACAGTTTTGGTGAGAATGGTGATCCTGAAGATGAGGGAATAGCATCAGGAGCCCATGTCACCAAGGAGGAAGTGGAAAATGTTTTTGCAGTTTCTGATGACAGTGACCTTGAATTTAGTGACAGAGACTCAGAAGACTCTGATGAATCTTCGGTGGTGGACTTGGAGACTGGAGGAGGACCTCTATTGTACCCATCATCTAACTTTGCATCAAAAAGCTCATTTCTCTCATGTGAGCTCACTTGTGTCTTACCACTAAAATTGTATACTTCATTTTACAGGGCTGAGTTCTATCTCACCTCATAGGATTAAGCAAAATCATGTATTTCTTTCTGTCCATTAGGCCAGTGGAGAGACTAAAAAAAAAAAAGCCTAATTACTGAAACCTCCTTTAGTTAACTGTCTTTTAAGAATCCATTGACTTTTATGGAGTGGAAAAGAGTTCTATATCTTAAAGAGCCCTTTATCTTGCAAAAATGAGATTTAAGCATTCAGGCCATGCATGTAATTGAAGAATGGGTACAAACCAAAAGATCTCATGTAAATACTGTATGCCAGCATGTCTTGCATTAAGTGACAGGCATTTAGAACATGTACCCTAAAATCATTCTCCTGCCTGTGGGCCATTTTTCATAGTTACAAATCTTGTGTCTGGTTTGCAACAAGAAATAGCAAATTCTTGCCACTTTAATTTTACCTGTTGCCTCTGATTTTTTTTTAATTGCTTTCATTTAAGAAAATTATACCACCAGAGATTTCATCATGTACACCTGACTGAGTGACAACTCAAGTCTATTTTCCCATTCCAAATGTACTGAAGAGGAGGGATCCTCTAGGTTCCTTTACTTCTTTTATTGACCTTGAAAGTCATGGGTATTTTTTTTTTAGAATTATTATTATTATTGCCCCACAATTTTTACAGATGTACTATGTTCCAGTTGGATTCTGAAAAGCCTCTTTGAAGGTATAGAATAGAAGGTATGGTTGCATTCTTTCAATGCTTTTAATCATAAATGTACCAAGGTAGTCTTTGTAAATTCTGGATTGTCCTGGTATCCCGAAGCAGGCAATCAGGTTTCTGTGATCAGCTATTCATCGTGCCTTCCCCTGCTTTAGACAGTAAACTATTAACTCTTCTTGCACTCATGCTGTAACTATGAAACCTTGCATAAGCCCTTATCAAGTTCAATGTCTTCCAGCAGAAAAATTAGGGTTCATTCATTATTGCTGAGGCAGAAAACTGCTGAAGAAAAATATTGATTTTACTTGAGCACCACTAAATAACCTTATTTTGTATGGCATAGACCTCATGTGTTTTTCTTACAGGGCATGAGAATCAACCATCCTTGGAAAATAGCAGCTTGGTGGATGCAGAACAGGATGATTTTCTCACTAGATATACCTTGTCTGAAGAATCTTCAGAAACTGAGACCATGCGCAAAAGTCTGGAGATCAACATGGCACTTCAGAAACTTGTTATGGGGGAACTTAATGTACTCCATCTGTATCTGGTGAAATGCAGGCGCCGACAAGTGAGTCCATTGTCTTATAACCCTCCATGCAATTTGGAATTGTCATAAAACTGAGTGGACATAGGATATTAAGATGTGACATCAAGCACACTAGGAAGAGTATCTCTTCATCACAACTTAAATAATTGTTTCAGTATATGTAACCTTAACACATTTCTGGAAAGGCTCTGGAGCTACTTCTTGGTAGAGGTTGCCAGTAAATCACCAGGCACACAGAACTACTGATGCAAATATTTATTCCATCAGAGGAGTTGCACAAAGCTGCTCTCACCTGTCAAAAAGTTTCAGAAGTACCTAACAAATTAAGGCAGAGTAAACTTCAATTCCCTCTAAGATGTATGACTGGACTATATTCCATATATGTCCCATTCCAAGACTCAGAACAAAATAATCTTCACTCAATAATATGTCTAAGTCAGGATTTCAGATTTTTGTGGTACCTACAATATACATATGTAATACCTCTACTTTTTGACATTCACCCACATAATGAACTGTTTTCACTTTTTTGTTATAGTTCCATTCATGAATTTCCTTAAAGATGCAGTTCCAACCATGAATTTCCATAAAGTTGCATTTCCATACATGAATTTGCATTACAGGGTTTGCATACCAACGTAGCCTGGCTTTAGAATTACTGAATAGTCTAGTTATTTATTTCAATTGTTGATTTTTTGCATATCCATTCATGAATAATGAAATGAAGAGCAACTTTCCACTTTGCTCCTATTGCCACTACCTTTTGTGTTCTGTTTTATGAATTGAGTTTAGATTCCTCCATGCCTTTTTTTTTTCATTTGTAGGAGGAACTGGAATCCTCTTTGGACCTTTACATAAGAGGTCCTGGAAGAGAGGGAACTGCAAGCACTCAACATCTCGCTTCAGTGAGGCTAACCTCTTACCATTGGCCATATTTCCAAAGTCGAAAAGGAGATGTACCTCCTCCTGCCGAAGGAGATTTGGAAGAATCAGTTTTCCGAGCAGAACTCAAGCCAAGACCTTGTGAGTTGATCAATATGATCCAAAATCCACATGAGATTCTCTCAGAAAAACTTGATGATCATTATCAACATCATGATGTTCAAGTCAATCTTTGATTGCAAAACTGCCATCATGAAAGCCCTAAGAATACAACTTACCTTTTTGTGCTTATTCCAGGGAAGAAGTTTGAGCAAGACATGCTTCTCAATGCAGTAGCTCAAAATGTCATCGATAGGACAAAGGCTCTTCTAGAAATGAGGTTGCAACTACTGGAAACCAGAATGTCTGCCATCACAGACAACCCTCAATTCATCATCAGTGAGAGTGATCCTGAAGCTAGTCAAGAGACTAATGGAGGAGATTCAAGGCTTGAGGAACTTGAAAGGATGAATATGGAAATCTCTGAGATAGAGTCTTCCCTTGATTCCCTAAATGAAGATCAAGACATCACAAAAATTGTTGGACCTCGAAACAAAGAACATGATTGGCTGAAAATCTCTACAATTGATGTGAGAATTTATTATTGGATTTTTATATATCATGCTGCTCAATTTTTTAAACCCAAAAATACTAGCCCTGCCTGAATTTGAAATTAAGCATTATCCCTCAGCCCTGCCTTGCATATACAGGGTGGGCCAAAAGTTTTTGCCCCTGTATAAAAATGTGAATATCTCCTGAACGGTTTGGGCTACAGAGTCGAAAAAAACTGAAAGAAAGTTCATTTCATGCTCTTTCTGAAAATGTATGGTTTTAGGTTCCTACATTCATTTGGAGATGAGTCATGGCTGTTTGAAAAAAACATACAGAAAAAAAAAGTTGCCAAAACGAACGGAAATCATCCTCAGCAGCTGGCTTCAAGGTCGCGCGC